AAAATAGTCAAAAAATTTTTTTTTTCATTTTTTGGCATTATTATCTGGTTGTAAGTATTATGTAAGAGAAGAAAGGAAAAAAATTTAAAGAAAAAAGAGAGTAAAGGGATTTTTTTTATGATAATAAAAAATTAGAAAGACAATTCAACAAATATTCCAAGATTTTAAACAATGAATTGATGAACATCTCAAAAATTTTGAATCCAAAAAAAAGTTCAACATGTTATTGAAAACGTAAAACTTGGCAATAAAATCAATGTAAAATTAGTGTTAAACACTTTTTTTGCTTTCTGGTAAAAGATTAGGCCATTTTTCAGAAGTTCATTCGGTAATAAAATCGTTGAAGGAAAAAAATTTTTTATTTCAAAAATATCAGGATCTGCATCTCAACGTTGATTTTTACCACATTTAAAAAAAGTATCAAAATTAAGCATCATCCCAAACTTTTCACCCAAAATTATTGCAAAAAGGGATGCTTAATTTCGATAAAATACGGTAATTATATTTTCTTAAAAAAAATTTTAATTTGTAAAAATTTTAAATGTATAAACTATTTTATTATAATGTATAAAATATTTTTTTTATATATTTTTTATATATTTAAAATCTAAAAAAAATTCATACATATAAAAATAAACAATTTTAAACTACATATAAATTTATATTTCTATAATAATTATTTTTAAATTTTATATAATTTTATAGTTAATTAGTCATAAATTTTAAAAAATAATATTTAATTTTATGATCTTAAAATCCAAAAAGTATTTTAATTTTAAGGTCTAGAAAATAAATTTTATATATAAATTAATATAAAATTTAAATCAGATGTCATTTTGTGATATGACTATATATTAAATTAATTATAAAATAATAGTAAAATATGATATAATAGACTTGTATTTTTTACTTTTTAAATCAATATATTAAGAAAAACTCATTTTTTTTAAATTCTCATTATTTCTTAAACTATAAAACAATCAAATTTATCTATGAAACTCTATAATTTAAGGGATAATGAATCAAAATTATTAAACTAATAAATTTATTATATTAATTTTAAATTGTATTAAACTACCTAAAAAATAAGCAATGCTATAATAAAAAAGTGTTACTTATTTTTAAAAGAAAATAGTAATTTAAAAGTCTTATATTATTTAATTTTATTTATTATTTATTTTAATTTATATATAATTTTTAAAGTATTTCTATAATAATTTTAATTGTATATATTTATTATATAAGTATTTAATTGTATATAATAATATATATTTATTAATTATAAATAAAATTTAAATATATTTATAAATTATTTTACAGTTTACAATAGTAATATATAGTTAGTATTAGAGATTTATTAAAATAAATTAGCATTAAAATTTGAATTTGAGTTAATATAGATTTAAAATACTAATGATAAGTTAGTATTAGAATTAAAATTTTTACTTTAAAAAATATCAACAAATTGTATTATTTCTTTAAATTTATTAAAAATAAGTTAAAATTTTACATTTTTTTCTATCATAATAGTGATCTTATGACATTATCAAAGTAAAATTGCTAGTTATTAATATACTAATAATATTTTAAAAAAATAAATATTTATTATAATATTATTTTTAATTAAATTATTTTTTTATTACAAAAATATATAATTTATTAATTATAATATAATTCAATTTATTTTATTTTTTTTATTAATTTTTATATTTATATTATTCATTTTAATTTAACAATTAGACTAATTTTTATATATACTATATATCTTATTATCTTTATTAGATTATAATTGTTATAATAATAAAAAATATAATATGAATATTAAAACTTTATAAAAAAGTTTAGGCTCTTTTCCAACCCCTGCTTTTTATGGATAAATTTGTCCTATAACAAAAAAAGAATTTTTTTAAATCCGCGATTATCAAATCTTTTTCCGACTTTCTTTTTCTTTTCCCATTCTATATATTTTATATTCTATTATTTTATTATTCTTTATTTTCTTGTTTCTCACTTAAAATGTCATCAACAAAACCAAAAGTATATAACTTTGGAGCGGGACCCGCAGCTATACCATTAAATGTGTTGGAGAAAGCACAAAAAGACCTTTTAAATTACGAAAACACTGGAATGTCAGTGATGGAAATCTCTCATCGTAGTAAAACGTTTGATAATCTCTTAAATAAAGCTAAACAAGATTTAAAAACTTTACTACAAGTACCTGATAATTATAAAATTCTATTTATGCAAGGAGGAGGACTTACACAATTTTCTGCGATAGTTTATAATTTATTGGCCGCTAAAAGGCAACAAGTTCCTGGAGAAGAATTTAACCCACCATTGGATTATTTTGTTACGGGAAGTTGGTCGGCTAAAGCGGCAGACGAAGCAAAAAGATTATATAATAATGTTAATATTGTAATTGATGTTAAGAAATCAAAAGGAAGTTTCGAGTCAATTCCACCTAAAGAAGAATGGAAATTAAGTGGTTCGAAAGCTGCTTTTGTATATTATTGTGATAATGAAACTATTAATGGAGTTGAATTTCCATTTATTCCTGAAGTTGATCCGAGCGTTCCTTTAGTGTGTGATATGTCATCAAATATTCTTAGTAGAAAATTTGATGTCAGTAAATTTGGATTGATTTATGCGGGAGCACAAAAGAATATCGGAACACCTGGAGTAACTGTCGTTATAGTGAGAGATGATTTATTGACCAAGCCAAAATCTGTTAATGATCAAGATAAGGGCGTTCCTGTTGTGCCTGTAATGCTTAGTTATAAAATAATTGCTGATCACAATTCAGTGTATAATACCCCTCCAATGTTTCCCATTTATATTTCTGGATTAGTATTTGAATGGTTGTTAGATCAAGGGGGGGTGGAAGCTATTGAGAAAATTAATAATGAGAAATCTACAAAGATATATGATTTGATTGATAAATCAAAGATTTATCGATCTCCTATCGAAAAACCATATAGATCGAGGATGAATGCTCCTTTCAGAATTGTCCCGGAAGAATTGGAAAAAGAATTTTTGACTGGAGCCGAAGAATTAGGAATGGTTCAATTAAAAGGTCATCGCAGTGTCGGTGGAATTAGAATTAGTATGTATAATGCTATCACTTTGGATGCTATTGATTTATTAATCAATTATATGATTGAATTTGAAAAAAAACATAATTAACATAATTATCGGTTATCTTGCCTTTTTTATGTGTGCAATAATATATTATATAATTAAATGTGGCTAAATTATGCATGCATAAGTAAACTTGATAATTCCGATGATTTACATAAATAAATAAATAAATAATAAACTACAGTTTTTTATTTTTGAAATTTTCGTTTTGACGAAATGAAAATAATAGGATTAACTGGAGGGATAGCCTCGGGTGATTGTTATTAAAGTTTTTCTTCCTCCAGTTAATAAATTCTTTCAAAATAAAACCGCACTTTTAACTTTCTTTAATTTTTTAAAAGGTAAATCAACTTTATCACGAATGATAATACATCGCAGAATTCCAGTAATTGACGCAGATTCGTTAGCAAAAAAAGTAGTAGAACCTGGAAAACCTGCATATAACTTGATAATAAAACATTTTTCCCGCGATGTATTAAATGAAGATGGTACGCTTGATAGAGAAAAATTAGGCAATATCATATTTGCTAATGAAAATCAAAGAAAACTTTTAAATAAATGTACTCATCCTTTTATTAGAAGAGAAGCTTTTAAAATATTAGTTTGGTACTGGATTACTGGTGAAAAAATGGTTATATTGGATGTACCTTTATTGATCGAAAGTGGTTTACAAAAATGGGTGAGTTCTGTTATCGTGATATATGTGTAAGTATACACGTACCTTTTTTTATGATTTTATTTTATTTTTTGTTTAATTTATTAACTAAATTTTTTCATAATAAAGTTCTGAACGATTACAAGTGTCTCGTTTGGTTAAACGAGATAATCTTCTTGAACATGTTGCTATACAACGTATATCTGCTCAAATGCCACTCGGAGAAAAAGTTAAATTTGCCGATTATGTGATTGATAATTCTGGTGATTTATCAGAAACTGAAAAGCAACTTAATATAGTCTTAGCAAAATTATATCCATCTGTATGGTCGTGGTTAGTTACTTGGATTGGTCCTCCTGCTTTAGTCACTTTAGGAATAGCAGTTGCGTTAAAAATAAAAATTTTATGATGGATTGGTAAATATTGAAATAATAATAATATTCTATTGTAATTAATAATTAAATAAATAAAAAGGATTATTTTAAATATTTAAATTACTAATATGTATATACTAATATTATTAAAATAATTAAATAATCTTTTACTTTATTATCTATGGAATAATATTTTATAATTTAAGTCAAATTAAAAATTACTTATTTAAATTAATTTAGTAAATGTTTTTTAAGTTTTACAGATTTTTAAATATAATTTTAATATATATTTTTTTTTATGTAATTCTATTTATAAATTTTAAAAAAAAGTATTAATTTCTTATAGAATATAAATATTAATATAATTATTAATAAAAATTATAATTTTTATTAATTTATTAATTTTATTAAAGTGTTTATAATAATTTAATATTTTAAAAAACTTTAATATATTAAATTTTTTAAAGATTTATATTTATATTATTAATTAAATAATTTTACTAAAAATTATAAATGATAAAAGTTTTTTTATAGATCATAAAAATTTTTTAACAATGAGTAAAAGTTTTATTAAATTTTAGTTTTTAATATTTGTTAGATTAAAATATGATAAAGATAATTAAAATTTATTAAAATTTAATTTTCAAGTAATTTATATAATAATTATTAATTGCCATAAATTTAATAATATTATTAAAGTATTAATTAAATTTTAATTTTAATTTTATAAAAATAAATCAAAAGAAAACTAATGATAAATATATAGATAATTGTGATAAAAAAAAATTTGTATTAATATAATTTATTTTTAAATATTTATATTATGATTAATTATAAATAAGTAACATTCTTAAAATCTAAAATTAGGAAATACCTTTTTTTTAAATAATAAATATGTGATAAAATATAATATTATTAAAAAAATAATTAATAATCAATAAAATTAAATTTAAATATATATCATAAAAATCAAAAAATTGAAGTATAATTATAATAAAATGTTTAAAAATATCAAAAAATCAAAAAATTGAAGTGTAATTATAAAAAAAATAAAGTTAAACAATTAATTAAAAAATTAAAAAATATAAGAGAATTAATTTAATATACAAAAGTAATTTGTTCTTCATATATTACAAAGAAAAACTTTTTTATAGAGTATTAAAAAAATATGAAATTTTTTTTCATAAATTTTAATATTATAAAAAATGAATTAAATTTATTAAAAATTAAATCTAATAATTATCATATTAATACTAATAAAATTTTTTATTTTTTATATTAGGAAAGAATTAATTAAATGGATTGAAATTTTGCAATTATTATTATATTATTTATAATTTAATAAAAAATAAAATCTTTTATTAATATAAATTCAAAATTAAAGATAGATATCACAATTAAAAAAATAATGTTATTGAGTTGTAATTTGTGATATAATTAAATTTACTTATAATAGAATTAAATTGTAATGCAATTGAAATTTAAAAGTATTTATAAAGATTATTTTATTTATAATAGTCAAATAATAAACAATTTTCTTTATATTTAAGGTTAATTTAAATATTTTATGAACTGATATAATCTTATTATTTGTAATAAATCAAAAATTCTTTCTATAAAATTAGAATTATTTTACAATTTTACCAAAAATAATATCATAAATATTAATATTATTTATCACAAATTGTTAATATGAATAAAATATCTAATTTATTAATTAAAAAAATAAATACAAAAATAATACAAATTTATATTATTAAAAATAATAAAATTAATTTATATGTAATTTAATAATTTTTGCAAATGAAACAAACTTTTACCTATAATTATTTTTAAAGGTAAAAATTATCTTAAAAATTTTTTTATTTAATATAATAATTAAAATGTAAGAAAATTATTAGATAAATAAAATTTAAAATTTAATTTTAAAAATATATTAAACTAAATAAAATATCTTTTTTAATAATAAATAATTTTAACAAATATAAAACAAAAATTTATAAAAAAAAAATATTATCAATAAATATTGATTTGACTATTATATCAAATGATCTTATATCATTTATTTAACTATTAGATATTTATCTTAATAAAATTTATTAGTAAAGAATATACTTTAACTAAAAATGGAACTTTATAAAAATCAGAATATGATTTAATTTATAATTAGATTTAGATATTTAAAATAAAAAATGTAAAATTATTAAAAAGAAATAATTATTTTTTATTATTAATATAAATTTTATTAAAATTTTTTTCATTAACAAATATTTTTAATATGTAAATCATGGTTTATAAAAATATTCCTATTTGAAATTAATAATAAATTTATTTTATTTTTTATCATTTAAATAACTTGGTTATCTTTTAGATTTTATCTAACAACCTTAAAATATAAACTATAAAATATAAATGTTATGTTATATATAAAGATAATGTTGCAATGCTATGATCATCTTTAATTATATATCTTATATTTAATAATTAAATAATTAAATCTATAAACTAAAATTTAAATATTTTGTTAAATTTAAATAACAAAATTTCTAATTTTAACTGGAGGTAAAATTCCCCCCAGTCACATGTCACATCATATTACATTTTATGTCACATGACATTATTTTAATATTTCGATTATTTTGTGTTAACAATAGGTAATTTTTATTAAAATTTTAATCAATCAGAATATGCGATAAGCCACATGACTTG